ACCAGGCCTGGTTTCACGAGAATTCTTCTAAATTGGGGTTTGGACTTTGTGGACTTGACACCTATGGTTAATAGGCGGTGCATCATGTTTCTATCTGGATGCTATGGTCTCTATGGGGCTTACAGAATTTAGAGTGGTTTATAGTTTCAAATATGCAGGTCGTCCTAGGCTTACATCCATTTGTTCAGCAACCATTCAAAGTTACAGTGATGCTGAAAAAATGGACGTATGACAGGTCCTCAAAGTTCTGGCCATCACAGCACCCCCATGGTCATGTGATTGCAATCCGGGAGCTTGGGTGCCAGGCTTGTGATTATGACATTGCAGGGAGCTGCGGTCATGTGATATTTGCAACCTTACCTGCCAGCTTCCCACACACAAAGTCAATGGGGAAGCCAGCAGGGAAGATTTCAGGTTGCTCCAGTAAGTCACACCCACTTTTTCTCCCACCCGCAGCACCCCACTGCCTGTGCGCAGCCTACATCAGCCCTCCCAAGCCCTCCCCCAGCCTCCACCCCATGGCACCTCTGCGGTCCTTACTGCCTTTTCCCGCCTTTTCCTGCTTAACGACCCACACGTCTTAGAGTTACAACGGCAACTGGGACTGCCTGAGATTGCTGTGGCTAAGCGATGCAGTCATGTGACTTCGCACTTTATGACCACATTGCTTAGTGATGGCAATCCCAGTCTCAATTACCATCGTAACCTGAGGACTACCTGTATATTCTTAGAGCTTGTTGTTAAATAGTAAATACACTTCAATCACAAACGTTTTAACAGTTCTAACTATTTAAACGAATTGTATCCCTGCTTTGAGATTTTTTTTAAATATAAAAAAGTGGAATATAATTTTTATTCATTGATATAAACCAACAAAAGGAAAATATGAAAATGAATCAAACTGAATGCCCTTCCTGCTTGCACTGGTCTGCAGAATTTGAGTGCTACACTCCTTAACCGGCTCTTTCTTTGTTTTCCAGCCCAGCTTATGGTGGCCGTCAGTGTCCAGGTGCTATGTATGAATATCAGGTCTGCAATACAGAAGAATGCCAAGGTTCCTATGAGGATTTTCGTGCTCAGCAGTGTTCCAAGCGGAACTCTTATTACACCCATGAAAACTCCAAACACACTTGGCTTCCCTACGAACATCCTGAGGGTAAATTACTGAAACATTCTGGATGTATAAAACTTAAATGGATGTAGCACGCCCAGCTGGCCTCATGTTATGCCCTAAGGCCTAAGACACGGGTGGAGAACTTGTGGCTTTCCCATTATTACTGGATTCCAACTCCCCTCATCCCATGATGGGAATAATAACCTAGCACCATCTAGGGAACTTGGTCATATCAATTCTGCTAAGTTTATTAGAAAATTTAAATCTAATACAGTCAAAAAGACATACAGTATATTAAATGTGTATTAAGGCAAGTCCTGTTGGAGACTTTTTTAGTATCACTTTCAAATGACATAAAAATTTAGTCCCAACTTGTTACTAGATTTTGTGCTAATTAGAATATAGATAGTCCCCAGTTTAAGAATGAGTTCCGCTCCCAAGATCTGTTCTTAAGTCGAATTTGTATGTAAGCTGGAACAGTATTATTGTATAATCCTGTGTAAGTAGTATTGTGTAATTAACTCCAACTATTGTGTATTTAACTCAAATTCTGCTACAATAGGCTCCATTCTTAACTATGGGTCGTCCATAAACCAGGCGTTCTTAATACGGGGACTACCTGTAGTTAAAAATAGTGCATATACTGGATATTTAAATGTTTTGCCATAAAATTTTGGGGCAGGAACTTTATTAAGTTCCTTAAGAAAGGAAATGTCTAATACAAATCATACACCTTGTCAAACCCTTCAGATCATAACTTTTATGAACATATAGAAATATATAGAACGTGCTTCAACCCCTGGGAAAGCAGTAACATTGATTGATTAATTAAGCATCTCTGAATATATTTATTGAATAGGAATATTTATGTTTCCATGATCCAGGTGTTCCATTTGCATATGCATTCATGATTTTGGCCTTAGGATCATTGTTCTCTTTGCAAATAAGGAAGGATTGATAGGAGGGAAAACCATCATAGAGCCATTGAGAAGCATGTGTCAACCATCCTGGAGTTAAGAAATTTAAAAATGAAGAAAGTGTTGATTCTTAGGAAGCTGAACTGCAAATACTGAGTCCCACTTGTATCTCAATTACAAGCACATAGAATCAATCTTTTCCATGTATTTATTTTTCTGCAGATGCCCAGAAGTGTGAACTGATTTGCCAGTCTGAGGAAACTGGGGATGTGGTATTTATGAATCAGGTTGTTCACGATGGTACCAGGTGCACCTATAGAGACCCATACAGTATCTGTGTAAGGGGTGAATGTGTGGTATGTAACTGAACTTGTAGGTTCATTAATTTTCCATGCTGTTTTATATTCCAAAGAGAGAAAGAACAAGCAAAAGGTGCATAAAAAAAAAAGTGGGTTTGACCCTTCACTGTTATCAGTGCCAACAATAGCCATGTTAGGCAGGAAATTCTTAAAGTTGTTCTCCCAATATACCTGGAAGTCCCTGGGTGGGAGACAGTTGTTCTAAAACACTTCAACAATGGTGATTTAAACACATTCATAATGTCATGCTCCCCAGTTCCAGAAAACTCAGTGGTCTTCCCAAAAAATCATGCCACGTGGCCAAGGACCAAATTTTATTGAAAGCAGATTAGGGATAAAGACGATATACAAACAAAATAAAATATACATGAATGAATAATCTTTCCATGAAATGCAGAGCTGCAGAAAAGTATGGGGTATATTCTTAGTCACAGTTCTGAAGAGCCACTACCCTATATCCCAAATGAACAGATTGTGTACTCAAAGCAGAGTATCCATAATGTGTTTCAGTTTCCAGTACAAAATGCAAGGTTTGTGAGGCAGATGAATAAGCTATGTGAGGAATATACGAAGGAAATACAATTGAAAACCAGGAAATGCACATTATTATATATTTAGGTTTTTTGAGCTTCTGTTTTGGTTTTAAATATATTTTATCGATTAGTAAGGCTCCTCTAAAATATAAACCTAAGCAGGTTTTGTTGTTAAATCTGACCATCTAATGCAGTGTTGTCCAAACTTGGCCACTTTAAGACGAGTGGACTTCAACTCCCAGAATGCTGGCTGGGGAATTCTGGGAGTTGAAGTCTACTCGTCTTAAAGTGGCCAAGTTTGGACAACACTGATCTAATGGCTGCCCACAAGGTATATTATTCTATCATACAGACAGAAATAGTGAACTGTGCTCTACAAAGCCTGTTCTGAGGTTATTCAGAGGATTGCATTTTGAATTTGCATCCTTAACCCCATTTTCTTAAAACTCTGTTTTTGTTCTTCTTCCAATGGCAGCATGTTGGCTGTGACAAAGAAATTGGCTCTCTGAAGGAGGATGACAAGTGTGGTGTTTGTGGGGGTGACAATTCCCACTGTCGGACAGTGAAGGGAACTTTGGTCAGAATCCCCAAACAGTCAGGTGAGAATAGAAGAATAAATGTTACTTTTTGAAAAAGCAAATGGTAGTAGATTTAGCATTGCAATTAATGCCAGGAAAATACAGTGTTCTATTCTTCAGCATATATTTATAGTCTTGTAAAGGCGTACCATGGCAGTACTCTAAAGCCAGTACTGTGCTTCAGTCCTCTTTACATTTTTGGAGGTCTTAATAGTTATAAAAGATCTCATGAATCCAACTCAGCATCTGGCAGCTACATGGAAAGCCTATGGGCATTGGCAGTAATATGGAAATGGTTTACCATTGATGATTTTTGGAATGTTTTTCCAATTAACTAGTCTAGCTAACTACTCTAGCCGTCCACACTAGCATTTCTTGATAGTCTACCATCCAAGTACTATCCCAGTGCAATCCTGCTTAGATTTTCTTGAGATCAGCCAAAGTCAGCTAGATGCTGCCAGCTGCTCTCCTTTAGGTAGAAAGCCAGATGTGGACTCCAACAGTGATGAAGAAAGGTTTCTTAATTATAACAGCAGGCTGCTTTTAGGAGGCCTTGGCATGATCCAGTTGATCTTTAAGGAGTCTTGAAGTCCCTGGAGAAAGCAGCAGGCCTCTGGAATAGGGGACAACTGGGAAAAGGTCAGCAACAGACATGGGTGGTGGCTGTAGGCAGTCTGAAATGGCAACATCTGAGTGGAGGCCTGAACTGAGTTATTACAGGTGAATTCAACCATAAGTAAAAGTTTAGCCAATTGTTTTTCTGGTAATTTAGACTGCAACAGAGATATCACTCTAAGGTGGCATTTGTCCTCTCTGCTTCTCCAGCAGAATGTGGATGATGGGCAGAGAGCAGATGGAACTTTACATCCAATAGTTAAAACTGAACTTTCCAATAGCATGCTATGATTTAAGGGCCTATGTAAAAAAAAAAATAGGATGAATGAGCAAAGACCAAGTTTCTGACAAATTGTTGAATAAAGAACAATGATTCAATGGTGGGGGGAGGAACATAACAGATATTGAAATGGGTCACCTTTGAAGACTGATGACTGTCATGAGAATGGCATCTAAACCTTTGCTTGTGGTAGCTCCCAAAGAACTGTATCCCAAGGACCCTGTGGACAAGGGATGCATCACTCCAAAGGGATTGCTGGTTGCAGTGACAGGTGAGACTAGAATAAATGTAGGCCCTGACATTTGCTATAACATGAGGCCACCAAAAGATAACAGAGAAGATGGGCCTTTTTAAATACTCCAAAATACCCAGCTGTTGCAACATAGCTACAGCATTTTTTCCCTCAAGAAAGGAGGGAAGTATATCCAGTTGTTTTGGTGCAATTCCTCCTGTTTCCAAGAAAAGTGATCCACTGAACATACTCTGAGCCCACACATATGAGCCCTGCTTTTGCTGAGTATGGTTTGAATCAGACAGAGAAGGAATTTCTTTTCCTTCCCTCAAAATCCTCACTGCAAAGAACTGGAGTAATGTTTGCTGGCTATAGATTGGAGGCTGGTAGAGGATTGTAAGATATATTTTAGTTTACTTGTTGAAGCATTAGCCTTCTGTTAAAATGAAAAAAAGAACTGAGCCCACCTGACCTAGCTTGTGTGAGCTTGTGAGAAGTTTGTAAATGTTCCACGTTCCTGTGGTTAGTTCAGACCACTCTAGGGTATTATGTGCCTTCTAGGAAATGGCGGTGATGCGGACAAGCCTCCTTCATAGCCAAAATCTCCTTGTTAAAAATATAATAAAAATGTATCCCAAAAATTCATGGAAAATATCATTCATCAATCTCTGAAAGATTAAGGGCTGCCTGACAATTCTGTAGGGTACTACCATATTTTCAAATTCCCCATGTCGGCAATGAAAGGCAGGCAAATATTCATGACTCTTAACCCCTGATTCAGGAACTGGCTTACTCACTAGAAGACTCTCAAGCATGAGACTGAGGAATAAAGGTGTATAAGCACAGAAGATTTGCCCCCTATAATATGCAGAAATCAAAGCCTTAAATTCAATTTTCTTCCTTCCAACCTTCTGTATCAATGGATACTTGGTCATTTTCTTTATGGCCTTGAAAGGTACCTCATCTAGGGTGACCTAACAGTTCTTTGTAGCCTGGAAACTGCTGGTTCCTATCTCAGCAGCTTCATTTTTTACATTTAGGGCCCATAGCTAACAATAACACTGCCCGTTTTAAACATGGCTTATTTCCTTTGCAATTTTCAGTGGGTGCTCTGAAAATGTTTGAGATTCCAGTAGGTGCCCGGCATGTTCAGATTGAAGAGATGGAACCTGCATCCCATACGATTGGTAAGAACAGATTGCCTTGTCTGTTTTCTACGTAAAGTCACTCAAAACAGGACAATGGCTTGTGGGGTGGGGTGGGGGTTGGATATCATGGTTGCTTTAAGTTGCAGTTTCACTCCTTAAAATTCACTCCCCCCTGAATAAAATAGTGGGTCCAAAATTTGCATCCCTGCATAAGTTCATTTTTTTTTCTTATGCAGGGATAAGAAGAAAATGAACTTATGATTTATAGTTTTGATGGTTAGACAGGATAGATTATACAAAGAAGGAAGTCATGTTGTAACTTTAGAGAAAGAGGTAAATTTATAATTGTTCTTATAACTGCTATACAGAAGATCAGAAGCCGGTTCTTTGTATCTTTTTTCTTTCTTTTCAGTTTTTCTTTTATCTTTTCTTTCTTTCTTGTACTTTTAGCTTTCTCCTTGGTTTCTTTCTTTTCCTTTTTTCTTCCTTGCTTCACATTCGTTTGTATTGGTTTTTATTTTTGTTTTAAAAACTTTTAATAAAATTGAAACCACAGAATGTTCATCCCTGCCTGCATGGTATGGCTTAGAGGTTGCTGTAGAGACCATGGGGGTCTCATATGGAGAGCTGAAGGTACTTGTTTCCCATCCCTAAGTCAGCCAACTAATGACACCAGCCTTTGTCACCATAGGTAGTACTGAATATTCATTTCTTGGTCATACCATAATACAGAGTTTCTCAGCCTCAACTTTAAGATATGTGGACTTCAACTCCCAGAATTCCCCAGCCAGCATTCTAAGGCTGAGAAACTCTGCTGTAACAGAATAGAATCTTAGGACTTTTTCAGCCCAGACATTAAGGAATGGATCCAATCTTAAATAACATTTAAGAACATTAAAAATAATGTCACCCTATATAATACATATGTAATTAATAAAATCGGTACCAGATATATAATAGCCAAGGTATTTGAGGGCAGTCTTGCTAAAATGGGCATCAAATTAAACTGCTTTCTGAAAGGCAAGCCAGGAGAGTTATTGGAAAGGGATTTTATGCATTTATGGCTAAGATTGCTGTACCTGCAGGGTGTGGTTAAAAAAAAAAAAAGATGATTGCCACAATGGAGCTACTGAAGCTCTGTGTGTGTTTTATGTGCATTGCATACCCCCAGCTGTGTTGTTCTATTCCAGATTGGCTCTGAGCAGCGTACGACAAAGAGAGACGGTATAAAAACAACCAACTCAGTTGTTCTAGAATGACAGCAGTTATTGCCTTGGTTACCATACAAACATAATAGAGATACCTGTTAAATTGCTTGCAATGTTGATTTTGCCACTCATCAACAATTGCTTGAATCATGAGCACGTTTTCCTGATGATTGCTATACCCAGATTTTTCAAAGTATGGATTTACTGTAGTCACCTATAGCACTGCAAATAGAAAAGATCTTTGTACTGTTTTGAATGACGTATTGGTAATCAAAGGCCTACGGTAGAACATGTACTTCATGTACATTATCTCTAAAATGATTACAGTGTTCTTGGAATATAAACCAGTGTTAATTGTCTCCACATAGCATTTTGAAGGAGGCTGAGTTAAGTGGCTTGCAAATCCCACTGCTACTAGGAAATCCTAATTAAATCCTAATTAAATTAAGAGAAAACATGCTTTTTCACTGCACTGAGTCCCATTCTCCCTATATTACATTAGTTCTCACAGTTAGTAAGGGACAAGGGCATATACCACATTCTGTTGTTTTATAGGGACAAGAAAATACTGAAATGGCTGCATATCTAAACCAGTAATCAAAATAACATTTAAAAGGGAAAACAACTCCCTTTATGACGTTGGGGCTTTCTATAACTAAACAATAACTGAACAATTTCTGTATCAATTTCCTCTGTTCCTTCTGAAGGTGTTGAGAGCCATCATCCGAATAATTTCTTTTTGTTTTCTAGCTGTTAAGAACCAGGCCTCTGGTGACTTCATTATCAATCCCAGCGTCAAAAGTGTCAAGAGCCAAACCTTCCTAAAGGTGGGTCTGGAATGGGAATACGCCACTGAGAATGGCAAGGAAAGTTTGAAGACTAGTGGTCCCCTTCATGAAGCTATCAATGTTCTGGTAAGTCCTGAGGGTATCTCTGACACACTTATGCAAAAAAAGAAAAGTATTGCTCTCTTGTTTGAAACCAGGGATGTGAGAACGGCAGTCTCCAAGTCACCAGCATCATTCTTGGTGGTTCTCCACAGGTCCCCCCAAAGACTGTGGGGCTGAAAGTTTGGAATCTGGTTCTCTTGTGGTTTTGAGATAGGGCAGTGTTTCTCAACCGTGGCCACTTTAAGCTGCCTGGACATCAACTCCCAGAATTCCCTAGCCAGCCTTGCTGGCTGGGGAATTCTGGGAGTTAAAGTCCACGCAGCTTAAAGTGGCCAAGGTTGAGAGACACTGAGGTGGGGGTGGTAATGTGTACATTTTGCTGCTCTGAGAACTATTTTCCTCTTCCACTTGTTCCACCTATTAAAGAAGAAAAGGCTTTATTTTTTTTTTTTATTTTAATCAATGGAGGGAGCTACAACACTGAAAGTCTCCATATCATGGCCTCTCTGCTGATGACATAAAGCCCCCTGCCATTTATTTTGTTATTACCACCCCCTCAGCAAAAAATAATATATTTAAATTGGATTTTAAAAGGTGTCACACTCATTGGGGAGTGCAGTTCTCAACATGCTATACAAATCACAAAGCAGCCCTGAAGTCGACAGAAGTTGGGCACTCTAAAAGTTGTGTTTTGGCAATAGACTTCTGGAACTCATCTCTGTTGGTGTTTTGTGTGTGTTTGTGTCTGTCTGCCTTCGAATCAGTTTTTGACTCCTGGAGACTGCCTGGACTAGTCCCTGCCATTTTCCATGGCAAGGTTTTTCGGAAGTAGTTTGCCATTGCCTCCTTTCTAGGGCTGAGAGAGAGTGACTGGCCCAAGGTCACTCAGTTGGATTCATGCCTAAGGTGGGACTAGAACTCATGGTATCCCAGTTTCTGGCCTGTGGCTTTAACCACTACACCAGACTGGCTCTCTGTCTCTGTTGGACATGGCAATTAGTTCAGAATCCTTGTGCACAGTTGGCAGTTAAGTAAATTCTGGTAAAACAGCCCTCCAAAAAGTTAGGAAAAAAGCAGAGTCAGGAACACAGAGGAAGCATTTTCTTTATCATCCTGTTTCCTTTGGTTCCAGGTCATCCCACAAGATGATAATTCCAAAAGCAGCTTGATGTATAGGTACATCATTCATGAAGATCTCCTCCCTGTCATTGGAAACAATAATGTCCTTCTCGAAGAAATGGATATCTATCAGTGGGCTCTTAAGGGCTGGTCTCAGTGCTCAAAAGCTTGTGGAGGAGGTATTTAAGTATTCTCTGTATGCTTAGAACTAGTTTCCATATGCAAGCATGTCCTGTAATGGCTCAGCCCTTGATGGGTCTATGTCTAAGTATGTATGGGAACTCCTTTCTAAAAAACACTGGATGATACAACAACTAAGGCTACAGGATATGGAGTGGTGACCATTAAACAGAGGCAAAGAATTCTCTATGTTTCTTTCTTTCTTTTAAAAAAAAGTTTTTATTTTCTTTTAGTGGGTATTCAAAAATACAATAAAAAACAAAAACAGAAAGGACAGTAAGAAAAAGCAAGACATACAAAAAGAGGAAAAAGAGATATACAAGCATAATGAGATTGAATAAACATTTCAAAGTAACATTAGATTAGCGCTGCATATTAAAATATCTTGTATTGGTTCGGAACTGTATTAAAAGCAAGTCAATATGCCATAATTAACAGCCAATATAATATGAATCATAGAGTCTTCTGTCTTATGCTCTTACTGCCACCTAGATTTTTCCAGCCCAGATCTGGTATCTCTGATCCTCCCTTTTCCTTTCTGACATCCTCCTTTCTCTCTTAAACGACAGGCTTCTCTTGCCAGAGACCTAAATTGATCTCTTTCACAGGAGTTTTGAAATTAGGCCAAGGGACCTATAAAATTAGTTGGAGGGCAACATGTTCCTCACCTCTGCATTAAGGGCATTTCCCCAGCAGGGTAGAACAGTAGATGGGATCTTAAAAATATGGATATGCGTATGCAAGCATTTTTTTTTACTGTTGTTTTTTAAATTTGGCAAATAAGGATAGTGGGAAACAGCTGGCCATATCTGCAAAGTGATAGAGTGCTTTTACACAGGGTTGTAGTTCTTTATAGGACCCATTTGGCACAACATAGTACCCATTCATTGAGAAATGAATGAATGAATGAATGAATGAATGAATGAATGAATGAATGCAAACATGCCCAGCATAAAAAGAAAGGAGTTTTTGAAAAGCTCCTTGACTCAAAGCAGTCTTGACTCAAGCCTGTTTTTCTAATATTGCAGCTACGTAATTTTGATTCCCAGGGATATGCTCTGGCAACACCCATACTAATCTCAGATAGTGGTCATAATTTGGGTTGGATGGCATTTTTATTCATTTTGGTGGCTTTTGTTGGCATTGTGGATGACCTCATTTGAGTGGCATTTTTCACTCCCATACCCAAACATTTCACTGAATAGATACATTAGGTTAGAAACAAAATATCCTTGGTCAAAATCTGTCATCTCAAGCAGCCTGCTAGAACATGGCTCCCCAACCCTTAAACAAGGGTGTGAATCTGGTAAACTGTGAAAGAGTAAGACACGACACCTTGATTTGTGTTCACTGGATTTCAGGAGAGATTCCAAATTCATCTGCTGCATGGAGGTTTCACAAATGTTTTCTATTGTTATTGCCACCTAATGTGGATTACATTTCTGTGTTTTGTCACTCTGGTATCATGAAATTCTTCATACTCCTCACAAAGATTTACAAGGGATTTGGGAATATTGTCCAAGTCAAGAATTGATTATTAGAAAGAACACTGTGTCAGAATGCTTTCAAACCAAGTGGTCAGAGGTATGTATTTAGGAGGATGTTAACTCCTCTGTAAGGAGGACTCTCTTGCTGTCTAAGTGGTTTGGTCCTAGACATGCTGGTTCCCACATCATTGTGGTTTGCTTCTGTGCTCTGGCAGGAATACAGTACACCAAGTATGGATGCCGGAGGAAGAACGATAACCGAATGGTACACCGGAACTTCTGTGTCAATGGAAAGAAAGCAAAGTCAATCCGCAGAAGGTGTAATGTGCAAGAGTGCTCTCAACCAATGTGAGTGCTTCTTTCATTAACTGTATTGATACGTAGGTGACAGAACAGTATTGATATGTGTGTTACCATGCGTGAACCACTATTGTTGTTTCAGATCAGTCATTTGTTTATCTACCTACATATACAGCATATAGAAAGCCTAACTTTCAACTTACATAAACTTGCATAGTGGCTGTTTTGGAAGACCTGTGCCCTTTGGAAGAACCCTTGGATGCCTGCGCCCAATGAGAGAGAGAAAGAAACCCATGTTTTCTTAATTTATTCTATAAATAACATTCAGTTGATCTGAAAAAAGCAGACCCAGCACCTGCAGGAAAAACACTAGGAAGAAAAAAGAAGAGGACAATATTTTTTATAATAATGTTATTAAAAGTTTTAGAAGCGAAATAAAAGATAATACCAACGAAAAAAGGGAAAAGAAAAAAGTGCAAGAAAGCAAAAAAGTAAAAAGACCCCCCCCTTAAGAAAGTGACTTCCCACCCACATCATGACAAAGTATAAACAATTTCATAATCTCTTCATCTCCTCTTAATTAAGAAATATGAAACTCTTCATCCCATAACCCATCTCTTAACAATAGGCAAATCAGATAAGTAACATCTCCTCCTTATCCAATTATCAGCAAAAAGTCCAAATAGAGCTGTAAAATATTAACATTAGTTAACATATATAAAACCCAACATTCCATATCTCAGCTCTTAGCTACAAGGATAGCCCCATTTAAAAGGCATAAAATGGTCCTGATATCCTAGTGTAAACCACACCCCCCTAAAGTTTAACATAACAAAAAGAAAACATTTCTCCTTTAAAAAGGCCAAGCTCCAATACACAACATTTTTCCCATTCCAAATGCTAACAAATCCAAAAAAACTCACCCCAGATAGCAACATATCCCATTCAAATAAACATTCCATATCTCAACTATAAACTATAAACAAATCCACGTCTCACAAATATAAAGTAATCCCATTATCCTGATATAAACAAAAGACTAGTATTTAACATAACAGAGATATTTTCCCCTTTAAAAAGACAAATTCTCCAAACTTTCTTACTTTAAGCAAAAAGACAGATACTGAGCCAGTTTAACAACTATAAAACCAGGATACATAAAGTAACTACAATGGAAAAAGCTTAAATACCATATTAAATGTAAGCAAATCCAATGTACCACATTTTTCCAATCAAAGTATCAGTAAATCCAAAAAGAACCACCCAAAATAACAGCATATCCCATTTTAACCCTGGTCAAATAAACCAACCTTGTATTCCTTTTTTTTTTTTTTTTTGTACAGAACAATCTTTCTCTGTAACCCATTCAGATGGTGGTTAATCCTTGTTACAAATTTCTTCAATATTTTAAGCAGTCTCTTTTGTGAGTCCGGCAAAAAGAAATTGTTCCAACTGCTCTCTGGGATTGTCATTTTTGTTTCCTTCTTGATTTTTAAAGCCTCATCCAATTTTCTCTTTATATCTGATGACAAATTCTTATTCAGAGTCTCGTTCATGTTGTTCTCAAATGGAATTTATTGCATATCTTTTTCTGTAACATCTTCTGGGAAGGCATTGTTCTCAAGAAGACACAACATAGCTAACATAATTAATTGATTCAAAATTCTGACGCAGTTCCTTGTGCAGTTCCTCAAAGATATCTCTGAGCACCATTATAAGTTTGTCTTATTATCTCTCCAGTATCAAAAACACTTTTTTTTCCCACAAAGATGCATTTATTCTTTAAAAGTAATTTCAAAGTCTTAATATTCAAAAGCCAATATTCCAACATTTTCTGAGCCCTTAATCCCTTTAAAACTTTCTGTAGCCAAAACCTTTTCTAGCTTTTTGCTGTTTATTTTAAATTCTTAAAAATTAAAAAAATAGATCTTCATTTTCTTATATTAAGAATCAAAGGCACTCATCTGGTGATTGCAATCTTGTCACTTTGAAGGTGTCTTAATTTATTTGAAGCAGTTAATAGGCAATATCTGAAAGTAGTTAACAAAGGAAGTGTGAACTTAGTCTCCTTTGAAAAGGTTGTGTTTGCGGCTGGAGCAATTGTGGCAAATTCCCTTATCCCCTGAATTCTCCCCCTCAGGAGACTCTTCATGAGGAGCAACTGTAAGGAGAAACGGCTTGGCCAATCTTGCATCCTCTCTGTCCAGAGAGGGTTGTAGGAGCGATGACCTAATTGCCTCCTTATTCATGTCCGCAAACGTCAGCTCCGCTTTTTCACGGAGCCATCTTCAGTCCACCATCTTTCCTGGAAATCAAATATATAGAGGACAAATTAACCTACTGACAAATTCATCTTCATATGTATTGTAGGAAAGTACAATAATACACTTTTGATGGACAATTCCCTGCCCTCATGTTCACATGGTATAATAGTCTTGTAAGATATTGTATGATAAAATTGCAAGTTAGCACATCTTGAATACCTAGAGGAAGACAATTCTAGTTGTGAATATTAAGAGAAAGTACACATGCAGCTGCAACTTTTTTTTTTAATGTTATGCCCAAATCAGCTTTGTTGTTTTGCTCTCAATGAAGGTTTATTCTCTGGTTATAGGAGTTATTTATTGTGGAAAGTCAAATCATTGTTTCCTAAGTTCAAGGAGGTTAAATATAAGTCTGGCTAAGGAGTTCCTCCATTGTTGGCTGGGGAATTCTGGGGGTTGAAGTCCACGCATCTTAAACTTGCTGAGGTTGAGAAACACTGATCTAGATTATATCATCCCTCAAATGCAATCTGAAATAATACCCCAGAGGACATCGGTCAGAAAGGACTAGACTGGTGGACTTCCTTCTATTTACAATGCTGACTTTTGCTGTTCTCTTGGCAGATGGGGGGTTGAGCAGTGGGGTGCTTGCAGCAAGTCCTGTGGCAAGCTGGGGGTCCAAATCAGAGTGGTGCAGTGCCTACAACAGCTACAGAATGGCACAAATCGGACAGTGCATTCAAAGTACTGTGTAGGAGAGAAACCAGATTCTCGACGCCCATGCAGCCGCACCCCATGTCCTGCCCAATGGAGGACGGGGGCCTGGTCCCAGGTAAGGCATCAGTCCTATGTGGTTACATTGCTACAACCCTTCTGGGGTTGTAGCATTTGATGCCCTAATAAAGCAATAAAATATCATTGCTCATTTTGGAGCAGATCATGGAGATACTAGATTCGGTATCTCTCCCTCTTACAGATATTCATGAAATGGTAAAGCGGCTTTGTTTCAACCTCAGAACAAAACATCCCACCCAGAGCAATCTGTTGAAACATTTGGAAGTGGCTTTGTTTCCCCAAAACAAAGTACAAAATGTTTTTGAGTATTTTGGCATAGGAAACAATAGGAACAGAGGTTGTATGAGGAGAGCCATGTTGGTCTATGGTGACAAAAATCAAGAGACTTATATAGCCCTTTTTTCGACTAACAAATGTTATTGAAAGGCATGATCTTTCATGAACTACAGATCACTTCATCAGGTGCCTTCATCTGATGAAATGAGCTGCAGCTCACGAAAGTTTATGCCTTTTAATAAAATTTGTTAATAGGGACAGGGGAAAAGCTGCCTGCTCCTTTCTTTTCACCCCAGAATCACAAGAATGGATAGGGTAGCAGCTCCTAAAAGCCAGTTTGCATAAAAATTGGCAGAAGAACAAAATTTGATTCCCCCCCCCCAAAAAAAAACTTGCATAATGGCAAGTTTAGTATCCTCCTCCTCCTGTGCTGTCTTCCTCGAATTCAGTGAGAAGTATATCCCTCCTTCTGCCCTGGAGATAGGTTGATTGAAAATAATGTAAAGAGGGATTCGTAGTCTGGATCGCCTTTCCCTCTGTTTCTTTCCTCTTTAAGAAAAAGACCCTAATCTCTCACACAACCTTTTTAATTGTTTGCCACTTCCAGAGACGGAAGACATTCTGCCAGAAAATGAATTCCATTCAGTCTATTAACACAAATGGGGTGTCCTTCAAAAATGTTTCGAAGTTAATCTGTTCTTACAGGGATGTGACTGGTCATTCTTGCTAGAAGGCCCAGAAATGAAAATTCAGAAGATAACACTTGACTTGCAAGAAACAAGACAGCTTTGAAACACATCAACTGAAACAGCACAGAACACCAGACTGTCCTGCTCAGAAGGGCTGTGTTTTGTTTCATCCTCAACCCCAAATTCACACCACTCCTGTGTTTTGTTTGGAGTGCAAAATACTTGAGACAGCTGTTTCGCACTTGAAACACTTTGAGTCTGGACCATTTTGTACATCTTTTACTACTTACTGATTGTATCAAGTGGTGGCTTGTCAGAGCGCAGTGCAAACTTATTTGGAAGGCACATAGGAGAATGCCATTTGTCCGATCCAATTATTGATGTTTTTTGCTTAGAATTTTTTATTTGAACTTTCTCTGCTGTGTATTCCACAACCTCTCCAGATATATTGGATCTGCAGTTCGATTCAGATACGGAAAGAGAAAGAGAATGTAATGACAGTCTCCATCTATTTCCTTCAGCTGGTTGCATGGCTAAAGTTAATGCTGCTCTGATATTTCTCTAAATCCTTTACTCGGCACTAAACTTTGGATTTTAAAACATTATTACTTTATTTCTGTTCCTTTAAAGTCCAGGCCTTGGTGAGCATTGATCCTAGAAATGTAACATTTGAATTGTTCAATTATTTTAGTATCATATTATCAAATTTTATGTTTTAATTTTTGTTATGTTTTGGTTTTGTTTGTATTTTGTTTTTATTTTTAAATGACTTGGGTACTTGTGTTTTAATTGTATATGCAGCCCAGAGTCACATACAAGTAAGATGGGTGGCTATATAAATTCAGGAGGGAGGGAGGGAGGGAGGGAAGGAAGGAAGGAAGGAAGGATCCAGCTAGAGCAGTGTTTTTCAAACTTGGCAATTTTAAGATGTGTGGATTGCAACTCCCAGTATGGTAGCTGGAGAATTCTGGGAACTGAAGTCCACACATCTTAAAGTTGCCAAGTTTGAAAAACACTGAGCTAGAGAAACCATCTGCACATCAATCTTTTGCACACCCTGTTCTAATAACATGCACATTCATGGAACTTCCTAGGTGGATCTGCCTTATTTGTTTAATTTTTGTATCACAGGAAGACTATTTTAATAGCTACAACTTTCCTTCTTTCCACTTCCTTGATAGATCTGTTTTTCTTCTTCTCCTATGGCAGTGCTCAGTCAGCTGTGGAGAAGGCGTTCAACAACGCCAAGTGGTCTGCAAGTCCAGTGACAATGGTACTGGTCAGTGTGACAATGAGAAGCCAGAGGCTTTCCAAGTTTGCCAACTGGACGCATGCCCAGGTGAGAGAAGCTGGAATTGTGCAAGGAACTGAATAAAAGTGTATGTACACATGTGATGAAATAAAATAGCTCCATTGTTAGAAATAAACCAGAATATAGGAATGCTGATCAATATAGATATGAATGGCTCTATTCTTGCATAGACATAACAATATACGTTTAGATTTCTCTGTTGCTTTTTTGCAGTTTATTTGATACTGTAAATTAGAATCCCAAAGCATCTGGTCAAGATTCAAAACCCATGTCTTTCATCTGTATGACTAAAATTACAATTTAGGGGCAAGTTTTAGAGAAGCTCTGGGAGCCCATATTCAAGGCTTTCAGGGACAACATGTGGACCTGGGGCTGAGGTGCAATCTCTGCTTAGAGAAAGGAATTGGAAAAGGACAGGAAACAGCCCTGGAAGCTTCAAGGATGCAGAAACTACTCAGCCTGTCAGGAAGTGAGAAGAAGGATGGAATCTGTTCTCAGCCACGTGGGGCAGAAGCAGGAGCTTCTACGCCCACTCTACTTATGAGAGTTACAAAGAAAGAAAACACTTTTTTGGCATCTACCTGTCCTGAATCAGCAGCATCTGTGTTAGCGTGTGTGTGTGTGTGAGATTGTGAAAGCAGAGTGGCACCCTAGTGAGTAAGCTACACCCCTTTTACATGTTAATTGTGCATTGCATATGCATATGAAGGGGGTAGGAGCTTGTATCGAGGGCGCAGTGCTTTCATTATTTTAATGAAAGTGGTAAATCCTGCAGATGCCTCTGTCCTGCATATGTGTTTTCCTTGGAGCTGCCTTCAAGAACGTTGTTTTCAAGGAAGCTTAGGCTACAATAAGTCTGTTTATTTTTAAAGGAAGAAAGAATGCTTGTTTTGGATTTTTTTCAGAAGGCTTCAACTATGACCCCAAAAGCGGAAGATTATTCTAGGGAAAGGTCTAGTGACCCATCTGCCTTCAAACTGAGATCCAGATATGTTCCTCTACTTCTTTTCTTTCAGGAAACCCACCCAATGTCACAGCGAATGCAAACACGAGCAATCACGTGACTCCTCAGGTCCAGTGGGTTTCACAGGAGAGCGTCAAAAATCCTGTCAGCAAGGTATCGTCAAGTAAGTGCCGGGTTTCACATTCTGAATCAGCCTCTGCTTCTCTCTCAACTCTTCTATTCTCCCTGGCTTAGGAAGATTCCGTTCAGAAAATATTGGAATTGCTCTCAGGGCTGTGACAAGTTTACCATCATTTCCTGTACTTAGTATATGGAAAATAAGACAGAGGAAGTTTTTACTCAGAACAAGGAGAATCTATGCCTGAAATACATTTTGGGTTGCTTGTCATGTGTTTGATCTCCAAACTGAATATGTGTCAGCCTTACCAGGTAGACCAGACAGGAAACACAACCAGATAAATTAATTCTACTTTATTGTAAAGCTGTATTAACAGAATCTTGCATGTCTGAAAGTACAATTCTCCCGCCTTCACCTTTACAGCTTGAGAACCTAGGGAAGGTCCCTTCTGGGCCTCTTGCTCCTCTCACCTTGTAGCTGCAGGCTATGTTATCTCTTTGACTGCTCCCTAGGCAACATTTCTTTGCCCTGTCTCCCAAGGTCTTTCCCACATACCATTACAATATGGGAAACTGCCATCTTGGAGATATATTATTTCAAGCCTTCCCTGGAATACTGGGGCTGGGTGTGGGGTGGGAGTAAATGCTCTCAATCCCATTGTGTAAGTAAATAAATATATTATTCTTGAAAGTGATGATCCCTACTAAAACTTATTTAATAATCACTTGCTAAACCACCAAGCATAACATGGTTTGCAAGCTATCCAGGTCTGCAAACCTGTGAATTAAGCACATTAAATGAAACCAGTGAATTAAGCACATTAAATTTTTGAAAAAGCAATAACAGAAAATGGATCTTTATAAAATAAAATCAGAAAGATGTTGCTGTTATTGTCAACCATCATCTGAATAACCCACTGAACAGAAATAATGAAACAATTCTTTACAAGAACAGAATGATCTTGGTTTGCTTGAGACCATAAAGTGTTCCTTACTTTACAGTACACCAAGCACGTTAACTACTTTCATAATGTGGAAAATGTTTAATCTGCTTCCACTCAAAAATGTATGATCCCAGTTGAGATTAATGTTGATTCATTAGTGTAATTCTTTACATGTGTTTATTCAGATCAATGGCATTTACCCCCAGGTAAGCAAGATAGGATTAAAGCCTTCCAAGATTGTATGCCTATCTGTTCAGTCTTACCAGGCAAATATTTACTCAGAAATAAAGTGGATGAGTTCAGTGAGGCATATTCCAAGATACGTGTGTGTAGGACTGCAATTCTTCTTTGACAAATATTTTTTTCTTTTAATGAAATCAATTGCCATCTAGCATTCTTTCGGTATCTGCAAATACCCCAGATCTACCTATTCTAAGCTGCTTCTTTGCAGAAAGTTTAACCACATTTCTAAGTTGGTATTTCTGTCTGCCTGGTTTATATTTTTTAAGCCTTCTTAAGCCAGGTTGATGTAGTGGTTAAAGGTGCTCTGCTGGAAACCAGGAGATGTGAGTTCTAGTTCTGTGTTAGTCACGAGGTCAGCTGGATGATTTTGGCCAGTCACTCTCCCTTGGCCCTAGGAAGGAGACAATGGCAAGCCACTTCTAAATAATGTTGCCAAGAAAAACTACATAGACTTGTTTATTTAGTTGCCAGAAGTCAAGCCTGATTCAAAGGTACAACCCCAAAACCTATAAAGATGCCACCTCAACATATTTTCTGTTCCTCTCTTCATCTTCTCATCTTGGGCTCTGATGTAACATCCTGAATTTGTTGAGCTACTGATAAATCTAATGCCATCTGAGTGCTTGTTTTGGGGCACCTTGCCTTCTGTGAACAGTGAAGGATAGCATGTCCTTTATTCTGGACATGCATCAGTTTGAATCGGCTGCCCGTGTTCCAAACATGAATTTTAAAAATTGCTTATCATGAGAAACAGAGAGTGCATACCCACTTCTATAGTCTACATATCACTGGAACAAGGGTTGGAATGTTGGAATTGACAGTTTCTTCAGAGCAAAAGGAGATGGGAAAGGGAGGACACTAAGTGCTCATTTATGACTCCTGACGGAAAAGGTAAGTAACATAGATTGTGACGCAAATATCAGTGACATCCTGAATTTCTGATAATCCTGTTTAGTTTGTTCTATATTTTTCACTTGAAGGTCATCATGTAGCACTAGAAAATCTGTGCCTCCTCTTTTGTCTATTTCCATCTCTTTCTTTTCTCTCTCTTTCTCCTTGTTAACTCCTACTTCTAGCAGTGCTGTGATATATATATATTTATGTGTGTGTGTGTGTGTGAGATTCTACTACTTCATTATAGCAAGAATGGTGTAGACATGGTTAATTTAATTTGGATGTCCTTGTATATAACAGGGGATTGCATTCGCATAACATTGTGGCATGAACGTTTATACGTTTTCTGCACGATGACTGGACAACCCAGAAAGTTAATTAGTTATATTCTAGACTTTGATGAGTTTTTTAACCCTTCCAAATTGGGGAATTTGGCAGCAGCTTGCCTGCCTGAGCGAAGAGTATATCTTCACTTCAAGAAACCTCTTTGTAATTTTTCTTGTCACAGAGGAGCCTTGCCTTGGGGACAAGTCCGTATTCTGCCAAATGGAAGTTCTGGCCCGGTACTGCTCCATTCCGGGCTACAACAAACTGTGCTGTGAATCCTGCAGCAAAAAAGTTGCCACCACTCGGCCTCCTAGCATTGATCACAGAGCCCCTGAGACTGAAGTTCAGGAGGGGGCTGTCCTTCCCAGCCCTTTGCCACCACTGCTTTCCTACCCCACTGTTGTGAGTCATCTGCAAAGGATGAAGGCCACCACTTCAAAGGAGACGGTCCATCCCTTGCTCACCACACTTGCCAGTTTAACAGCCCACAGCACCTGCCGGGTGACTACTCCTTGGCACTGTCCTGCCAACAGCACCACAAGAGCTAGAAGATCAGGTCTCCTGTCTTCTCTTCGCCGGGTGAATGCTGGGTGGATTCCTGAGGATCTCCAGATTAATTCAACATTCCAGCAGTTCCCTGTGGTGTTGGACAAAATTTTAGCTGCATCACAGAGAGAAAGCAAATCCTCTCATGTCTCTTCAGGTGTAGCAGAACAGGAAAGGGACAATGGGGTGTCGGAACAGCCAGCTGCCATTCTTAGGACCTCCTCCCTGACATTGACATGAGCATGGCTTCCCTTTGCTAGAACTTCATCTCTCTCTTTTTCTCTCTCCACAGATTCTGTGGGGCACAGACAAGACGTTTCTTGGTTCCTTCCTAAAGCTGAAGGAATACCAATTCAGAGTAATAGCCCATTCATTTATAAAAGCAACAACAATTTTGCTGTTTTGTAGCACTTTTCTAAAGGCTTAAAAAGCAAAGCAAGAAGCAAATAGGTATAGTTACAGTGCCATTTTGTTACAAATGAGAAACCAAGAGTAATTGAATACCCAGCGCCTATAAGTTATTTCAGAGCATTATCTTCAGTAAGCAGGTCTTTTCTTTAAAGGTGCTAATAAGAGATTTTTTTTAAGTAACAAGAGAACAAAAGCAACCCAGGGATCTTGTTTTCTTCCTCCTTGGTTTCTGCCCATTTCTGCTGCTATTCCTGTCATCTGAGTTTCTAAAATGGGCTATTTATTACACAGCTTTAGCCTGAGTGGAACATGAACTGGCTGTTTTAGGCAATGTAAGGGAGACCTCCCATGGAGGGGAGAAATGAAGAAAAGTAGTTTAAATAACAGGAAAGATGTGTATGCACAATTTGGATAAGTAGACTCCTGAATTAGCAACATAGAATCCAAGCTGATTATTTGGAGTCCTGGGGAGAGTCAGGCCTTAATTGGAAACCAAGCAGGGAGAATGTGTGAACATAATGATTGCCTGGTTGGATCAGATCAAATGTCCACATGTTCTAACCAGAAATGTTATCTAGTTGGTCCAGTTTATGAAAACTGATTTTTTTTTTTAAGGTGGGGCACCTCTGTGCTCAATGTTTTGTGGGACATGCTGGGTAGCACATTTAGAAGGGCAAAAGGGTGGTGGATTGAGATAGTTAAGGGTGCCAGAAGCATCAGGGACTAGGAATGAGGCAGGACACTGCCCTCCCTGCCTGGAGATCCAAGCCACAGAAGAGGCAACACTCTATTGTAGGATGCTATCTCTGAGCACTTACTGGCTTTGCCTCCTGGTGTTTGGCTTGTCCCACCCCTTACCTGCTCAGGAAGTGGTTGTTGTCTAATTCAGACAACATTTCTGATTCCAGCACTTTGTCTAAAGCAGCCCTCAGCTAGAGAACCACGAGCATTGGGTTTCATATAAAGGAGCAAGGACCATAACATGCAACGAACTGTCTTTGCTTCTGAAATAATGTTACAGGAACAAAAAGGTTGTACGTAGGGTCCTTTTTTATTTTAAAATGATTTGGCTTCTTTTGTCTTTCACAAGTATACTTCATTTCATTTCATTTGAAAGTATTACTTTACATTGGCAAAGTGCTGTTTTGGACTCTGCTGGAGGTGGAAAGTGAGAAGCTCCAATCTTCCTATTTTTAGTATGATATGTCCATCAAGACATTCAACATACATTAGATAATTGATTGCAGGTCTGTTTAAAAACTGCTCAGGGTGACATATAACCAGGAACTTACTGGTAGCTTTGAACATGACTTCATTATGTTGAAGAACATAAGAGCCATGTGCTGTAAGATTATTGTCTATGGGGAATGATATATGAGGAAGCTTTCAACCTGTCTAGTGTATTTTAATCGTAAAGCCCTTTCGCTAAATCATGCCTGTCTTAATACCCCAGTCCATCCCTTATATGCCCTTAAGACTCTTGATTTTCAGGGGATGTGGTTGTTTTAGATTTTACAGCAAGCTCCTTACATTTTCCTTCAAATATATTTGCATCATGAATGCAAGCTGATGGTCCTCCATTACCTGTCCTTTCTCATCCCTTTTAAAATGGCACGAGCATAAATCTCAGGGATCAGGACAATGTTTGTGTAGGGTCCAATAACTACAATTAACTCCTCAATTCCTACATCTTTGTGAGATGATTTGGATATTGCTTTGAAAAGACTTCCAATTTAGACGACTGCAGCATAAGATGGTGGGAAGGATTCCACGTTTCTCTTTTTGCAAAAAATACGTAACAGAACTCTGGAAAGTCTATAATCATTTGCATTCAGAATGGGAAACTTATCATTTGTCTTCACTGAAACTTTAGGAAGGATAAAAATTACACTTCTCACTTTAGAGGCTGTTTTGAAAGTCTGCTGTTGTGAGAAACTGATACTGATTATGCAGAATTGTGGGAAAGGAAGTAGAGAGAAGATTGGCATAATTTTATTTGGTTTAAATGATACAGGAAATCCCTTGATAGCAGAGGTCAGAAGCATTCATATATTCTCAAGGCCAGCAGACATAGATTTGGGTGGCTAGTATTTCATTCAATATGTGAACATTGGCTTCCCTTAATCTCATGTGCAGCTGTCCTCTGTGTTCAATCTCCTTTTCTCACCTTTCTTTCCTCTCTATTTGCCTTACCCCCCCCACCCCCATTCTTCCTTTGGCCCCTGTTATCCCTGACGTCCTTTGAAAATTCTGTCTTCCAGCTCTGTTGTAGACTTGCCACATGCTGCAATCTTAGCTTCATGCCACTGCCGCCGCCGCCGCCTCCTCCTCCTCCTCCTCCTCTCCCCAGGCCTTATCTAATCCTTCTTTTCATCAGAACAGCTTAGTCAACAGCAAGCAGAAAAGTCAAGATGAGATCAGTTAGGTCACTGTTAGTAAGAGATCCTTATTCTTATCCCACCCCTCTTGAATCAGGAATGCTGTGATAAGAGCTTTCATCCTAGGCCTAATCAAGTTCCTTTATTATAATATAAATACTTATCCAAATTTTTAAGACCATTTTAAAATGTGCCAGTAAATCTTGCTTTCTGGATTCAGTTCAGGCCAAACTGAGTTTGTACTATGGGTGCTAATGCCACTGAAGTAAGTGGGACTGGTGCAATGAATGCAATTCAAATTTAATCAATAAATTGTGAATCTATAGAGGAAGCTGCCTGCAATAGCTATGGTTTTTCTTTTTTCCTAGCAATTTCCACCTGTTTTGTTCACCATTTACAGCAGAATCACCAGCTTCAAAAGAGACTACCTAGATCTTTGCAGGCCTTCTGTTCTGGACTTGAATCTCTCCAAAACAGGTCCCCAAAGAATGTGGCGTACTATGTTTCACTGAAGCCATATGCATGTTTACTCTCCCACATTCTAGAAATAACTCTTTTTAGGATCTAAGAAGAAAAAGTGCCTTTGGGGCTAAATGCATAGTAGCCATCCATGTAGATTTATAAACGCAGGTTCTGTATACAGGGCTAGGCAGTGCAGTGTGAGCGTCAGTGAGCACTGTAAAAACGAGAGTGCATTTGGTTTGATCAATGGCCCCACAGTTCTCTTTCCATTCTCAATGGCTTGGGACTGGTCAGTTGCTCAATAAGAATACTGGAAATTGGCTTATATTGCATCACATCATCTCCAGGATTTGACAGTAGGTCTTCTGCAAGCCTATCTGAAGATTGAATCTGGAGCCTTTTGCATCTGTATCCTGTTAATCGATGGCTGCTGGATTTAGGGCCACAAATTAGAAATTGGGAAAGTAACTGACAAGCAATAATTGCATGCCATTTTGTTCAAGAATATCATTATACCGATTTTTTTTTAAGGAAGGGCAGAACTGTCAGGCATTCTGTATCCTACCAAATATCATAGTTTTATTTTGTAAGGAATGCATTTTTATCAACAAAGGTGTTATCATAATTGACTCTCCATTTGCCCTTTAAGGACTGTCCTTGTCTGAAAAGCAACACTTGTCAGGAATGTGGTGGCAGTTTTGATGTCACTCCTTGCAGACATCTTAATAACCATTTCAAGCAAGGTGAGTCTTTCCAGGATGCTGCAGTGGTAAAAACCTCTGAATTAGAAGGAGAGGTGGAAAACACAAAATTGTTTTAGCTTGGCATTTGTGAATTCAAACTGTCAACTTTCAGACTTACAAGAATGTTATTTTCAAGACCAGCCTGTGAGAGGGACAAAGTAACCCTTTTCATACTTCAGCAACTTTTGCAACATGGAGGTAGATTTGTGTGTGGGGATGTTCCTTCTCCCTCTTAAGTGGGAATCTATCTGTATTTGTTCCATTAAGAATTAGGGTGTTACCTGTACCAATGCAAAAAATAGATCTCTTACTTCAGTGGGTCACACATGCAGAGTCTTGCATCCATACTGTACAAAGAATTGTTAATGTAAGGCCAGGCTATGATTCCCTCATTCTGTCATCGTCTCAGCCATTTTTTTTCCTAACAGTGTTCTTTGGTGCTTTCCCACCCCCCACTTTTTATTTATTTATTTTTAACCCTCTGGAGATTATTCAGAGACCTTGTTCTCAAAACAGTACTAAGCATTGAGAAATGTGCTGCAAAATCAAAGTGAAATGTCCTGGTGCCACCGTGTTACCATCAACACTCAGAGATAGCTGGGCAAAGAAAATGTTAGGTGAATTGCATTGCTATAATATGAAGAAAATTTCCATGCAATGCTTATCTGCCTCCACCCTCCCCGGCAACCTCTTTTCTTTACATAAAAGACAGTTGGCCATTTATATCATAGTTGCCAGGGAGAGAAAGTCTCCATTGACATAAAAATATGCAAAAGAGTCCAGTTGAAATGCTCCATTAAAGATAGAGTCTCTGCCTCTGAATTGTCCTCGGTGTTTGCTCGCTACAGCAATGTATATGTAAGAGAAGCTGGAATTTGGGGAAAACATTTCCAATTCCATTCAGGGGAATGCTATCAGACAAATCCAATCCTTGAAGAGTTGTAAACTTGATTAATATTTCCATGTACAAGAGTTTTGTAAATATGAGATTTAGAGCTTTTAAAAGTATTTATTAACTTTATTGTTTTTCATTTGGGGGGTGGGTGGGAAGAGAGATGTTAACCCTGTAAAAGAAAACAGGCTATTCATAAAGGATTGATGTTTTCTTTTTTAAAAAGGAGAAATACATCCTATGAGTAATTCAGTGTGACTGAATGGTCATTGATTTAGGGCTCATTTATATTTGATTTAGGTGGCATGGGAGGATCTGCCTATAGCTAAACTGCCAAGGGGTGACTGCATAGCCTTGGACCTATATCTGTTATATGCTGTGAAGTATTGGTGATGCTTGGATAGACCTCAAGGAATGTCCTCAAGTATTAGTTAAGGTGGGCCAACATCACCACTACCAAAAGCTCAAAATAAGCAGAGATTCTTTATTCTAAATGAAGATTCCTCCACCCACACTCAGCTGGTCAATGGGAAGTAATAGTCAGTAGCCTTGGAAAGTCAGGTGAGAGAAGGGTACAGAAAGAAGGAGCACTTCCTTTCTAATATTACCTATGAGATTTTAGATTGATGGTAAAAAAATTTACTCCAATATCCTACTTCCCATGGTGGAGAGCCAGGCATGAACACAATAGCTCCCTTCCCTATTAGGTGGCACTCACCTTTGAACATGACATTTCAATAGAAGCACTATGACTCATAGCTGCTGGAAGAGTTATTCTTCCAGAATTGAAAAGCGACCAAGCTAATGGCTGTCATGTCTTGTTGGGGTGATTTCCATAGAGAAATAATGAATTCACTTCAATGATTTTAAAAGGAGTTGGAATCCTGCACCATTATTATAAGCATATAAATGCAGACGGCATGGGCTCAGATTTTATGTTTCATGATTTAAAATGTTGATGTTAGCACCCATGTTAATGCCTCTGAATTTGGATGAAAATGGAAGAAGTATTTTTGTACTTTACCAAAACTTCAAGCCTAATTGTGTCCCAAGGAGTAGCCCTCTGTTTTTTTTAATATAAATTTTATTAAAAGTTTTACAAAGAACATAAAAACGAACACAGACTGATAAAGAGTAAAAGAAGCAAAGAAAGAAAAAGAGAAGAGAGAAGAAAGAAAAAAACTTTCAGAAAGAGAGAACAAAAAGAAAAAAAAAGAAACTTCCAATTTCTTTTGCAGCAAATATAAGTACAATTACAAAATTAACTATTACTCTATGATTCCCCAAGGAGTAGATCTCCAGGGTCTCAATAATAGGGTCTTTTTCACCTGAAATGTTTTAACTGAAAATGCGAAATGTGTGTAAAATATGGGCTCTTCCAGTAAGCTGCTCTTCTGTAGTTGAATGTTTTGAGTTGTTTTGTTTAAAATACAGTGGTACCTCGGGATACGAACTTAATGCGTTCCGTGACTCTGGGCGTATCCTGAGTTGGTCGT